GGTGGTTCAAATAGCCTCGGCTATCACATCCTTATGTCCGGTCGTGATGGTCAAGCGGATTAAGGCGTCTTGTACATACCAGTTGCGTTGCTTCTGGGAGTATGGGTTCGAGTCACTTCTGGGGTGTGAGTTTTCAGTTATATATATATATATATATATATATATATATATATATATATATATATATATATATATATATATATATATATATATATATATATATATATATATATATATGACTGTCAGACCACGGAGGAAGAACTGAAACAGGAATTTCCTTAAGCACTTTCGTATATTAATACATCTTCAGAAGGAATGATTCCTTCAGAAGATGTACTAATATACGAATTTCCTTAAGTACTAAAGTACTTAAGGAAATTCCTGTTTCAGTTCTTCCTCCGTTGTCTGACAGTGTCACATATTTCATCACGTGTTAATTTTCGTGATTACACACACTCTCACACACACACACACGCACACACACACACACACACACACACACACACACACACACCACACACACACACACACACACACACACACACACATATATATATATATATATATATATATATATATATATATATATATATATATATATATTAAATATTGGGAAAATTGCTGAAAAACGTCTGAGTTTGACCGCAGCTTCGACAAGTGCAGCCTGAAGACAGGTTGCATAATTAAAGTGTTTCACTTATGTATAGGACGACTGCTGACTTAGGAGTATTTAGTCTACATGTTTAGAATGGGCGGCTTAGTCATAATAACAAGCCAAGAGGGTGAGGGGCACTCACCGTTCTGTCCTCGATTGGCTTGTCGTAGTCGAGGTCCTTGTTGATCAAAACCTCGCCTGTGGTCGAGTCGATCCGGAACTTTTGCTGTTCGTTTCCACTGACGATCTGGAAGTCGTTGTGGTTTACTGAAACAGACGTCGAAATATACATTATCTCTGAGAATTTAATGAGAGGAATAATAATTTAGTGTTTGGGATGGTTCAGTCGATTAGGGTACATGAATCAGAAGATTCGCTTCTTGGATTCAAATCCTTCGCAAGATCGGGAGTCACTGTATTATTCAAACACTGCAGTGTTCCCCAACGCTCCAGGAAAGCATATATTAGTTTTCTCTAGCAACCTGAACTGGGGTCAGCCCCCATGGACCTGAGAGGTAAAAATCACACACACGCCACTAAGTAGTGATGACAATATGCGACTCTTGAATTACACCAGTGTGAAGTCCTCGTATATTTTAACACACATACACACACACATAACCCAAATCCTCTCCACAACGACTCACCAATATCAGGGTCGATAACGACGAGTCGAATGCCTGTATTTTTCCCGGGGACCTTGTTCTCGGGGACCTCTACCTGGTAGATGCCCTTCGTCATGTCGAACCTCGGAGGGACGTCGTTGATGTCCTGGACGGTGATCCAGTAGGTGGTCATACGCTCGTGTCCTGTCCAGAGACAATCACGGGAGAGTTTAGTTTACCTTCGTGAGCGAATACAGTTTGTGGAGTTCAACTTGTGAGTCAATTTAATTTCATTCACCTGGGCTCTAGAAGACTCGAACCGCGAACCCCACGAGTGCGAGGCGGAAGTGCTTTTTTTTTCTGAGAGTCAAGTTTAGAAGGGAATGTTGTAGTTGTGGTCATGTTACTGGATAGGATATTACCCAAGGTAATGAGGAGAAAGTGCTAGAATATGCCAGAATGACTATACAGCACTTGGAAGGGATCTGAAGACAGGATAGAATCTGGGATCTGAGGCCAGGACAGAAGCTGGGATCTGAGGCCAGGACAGAAGCTGGGATCTGAGGCCAGGACAGAAGCTGGGATCTGAGGACAAAGTGAAGGAACCGTGTCCATCCCTTATTCCATTCTCACACCCCTATATTCCCCCGGTTTAAAAATATACTTTTGTGTGTGTTTTTATGTATGTGCTTATGCTTGTATATGTATGCATGTGTTTGTATGTGGCCAAACACCACCTTAGGGTGAGGATAAACGCCATACCTGGAGCACCGTCGGTAACCTTAATGGGCACACGGTACTTGTTGCTCTGCTCTCTGTCCAGACTGGTGCTGGTCCACAACTCCCCGTTGGACTTCAACGCAAACTTTGACTTCACGTCTGCAGACGCCGTTGCGTCAAAGGCGTAGGAGAGCTGGAGAGAAGATAGGTACAGAAATGTGAATTCTTCTGAATTAAGCATGATTAATTTGGCGAGTGATTAATTAGAGGGGGTGAGTAATAGAGTGGGCAAACTTAGTGAAAGGGTGGATGAGTGAGAGGGCGGATGATTAACTCACCTCTCTGAAAGCAGGTGAGGCATCTTTATCAATGGCCTTGATGGTGGTGATGAGGGAAGGGGGCGAGTTCTCGACGATGGCCCCGTCGAAGGGCTGCAAGAGCGGAGAGTTGTCGTTCACATCGATGACCTTCACGTCTATCTGAACGTCCGCCCTGGCGTTCTGGTCGTCCTGTGGGAGAGACACGCGTCACCAAGTCAGCTATGAATGAGAAGACTTCAAGTTTGGTAGCGAAGGAGTAATGGTACATCGAGATTTTTCTTCGATATCAAAGGGGAAAGGTTTAAGTGCACTCACTCTAGTCAAAAATAAATCGAAAACGACTTGTTTATCTTAGCGATGATGATACGCTTTGCCAAGCAAACGTTGTTAGTGGAACACAGGGCATGTTGGAACTACAGGTGGTATGGTCTGCCAACGACGATTGGCCGTTATTGGGTGATTACAACCCCCTCCTCATTTTCCTCATTTTTAGTGAAGGAGGCGGTTGTAATTGGATTGCGAATGCGAGAAAGTACTCGTCAGATTAAGGTATTTAGAATACTCACCACAACTTGTAGAATGAGCTTGTAGGCAGTGATGGTCTCGTAGTCTAGACTCCTCATGGCGACGTAGATGGCGACGCCTCGGCTGCCAGTTGGACATTTGGGGTCGTTGCTCTCCAGGTACCTGGATGAGGCAGACACCTTCACAACTTTGTCTTTTACCGGTATATCTAGACCTTATTCTCTGTCGGATGCCGCTGACAGACAAGATATTTCGTGGTTAGCTTTAAGGGGCCAATCGACAGATCATTAATCCCATACAAGAGTTCAAGATCACAGAAAACATGCAATGTATGTTCACTGAGAAGTGCATATCTCGGTGTATAACGAAAGGTGAGCCCCTCAGTGTATACATCTCCTACGCCAACAATCTGCCTGCATTATGAAACGAATGTATGGGTGGAGGTAGTGGTGATGGAGATAGATATGACGATGGAATCCTACGTGAGGGTTGGAGTTCGAGGAAAGAAGAGGTCAAGACAGTTGCAAGAGTAGAGATCGAAGCGGGAAGACAGCTGGAGTAAAGGGTCATAGCGAAGCCGAGAGACGAGGGATGGGGATGGTGTGGAAGGATGAAGAGTAGACTAACAGACGTGGAAATACTAGGTTATTTCAAGCGTAAGTTAGACATATGAATGAGTTTGTAGGGATATAAATAGAAGCTGCCTCGTATTGGCCAACAAGCCTTCAGCACTTTCCTTATAAGTGAAGATGAAAGTGATCAAGTTTCTGAACAGTGATGATTGCAATTAAGGTGGAGGCCAAGAGAGAGAGAGAGAGAGAGAGAGAGAGAGAGAGAGAGAGAGAGAGAGAGAGAGAGAGAGAGAGAGAGAGAGAGAGAGAGAGAGAGAGAGAGAGAGAGAGAGAGACCTTTCCTAACTGAAGACGAGGATGCGCGTGAGGGAGACGGGGCGTACCTGATAGCGAAGGTGCCGTCGGAGTTGGTGTCCTTGGTGTTCCCGTTGAGCAGCGTGAAGTACACGTCGGGCTTGCTTGGGATGTTAGACCTGAGAACCGTAGAGACACCAACAGTCACAATCGTGAAAACAATGAGCACAGCAGATACTGTCCACCTGCCTCAAACAGCATCATTCATTATCACATCATACAGATTATCCCCCTAAAAAAGGCTGGAAATAAAAACGGAGGAACAAAAGAAAGGCAACAAATTACTGGAATCCTCGCCAAGCCCTGAAGCCCTGTGTCCGGATACAGCCGGATATACAGAAATACATTTCCAGTTGTGAAATAATCTTAAGGCCTATTGGGTACAGATCCACAGGGGCCGCTGTAGCATATTCCCACCACACTAAGCAACACACCTTAGGTCTGATTATACACGTGTGATCAGACGACTTTGAAAAGCAGCTCCTTCAACAAAAGCCAAAGTGACTACCATATGAAGGAAGAAGTTTAAAATCTTGTCTAGCACTTCTTAAACGAACAGACACGCAAAGAGACGAGAGAAATATAGAGAGACTCGACAGAGACTCGACAGAGACTCGACAGAGACTCGACAGAGACTCGACAGAGACTCGACAGAGACTCGACAGAGACTCGACAGAGACTCGACAGAGACTCGACAGAGACTCGACAGAGACTCGACAGAGACTTTGCTTGTTATTTGGAGAAAAACACGTCAAAATATCCACATCCTCACATGGCGCAGACGATGACAACGTCAGTGTTCTCGACAGTGTCCTCGGGAATGGAGGCGTTCTGGGGCTCGCGGAGGACAATGGTTGGAGGCATGTTGCCCGAGGTGACGGCGTGGATGTTGACCCCGACCTTGTTGCTCAGGGGCGGCGACCCCTTGTCCGTCGCAATGGCCTTCAGGTTGAACGTCTTCTTGTCAGCCTGGACCAAAAAAAATAAAACAATCAATAGGGCAAGGTAATTATGAGGGGGTAAAGGTAATTATGAGGAGGAAGGTAAAGTAATTATGAGGTGTAAGGTAAGTTGATTTTAAGGAAAAAATTACATTACCATCCCCCCCCCCACCCTTCCAGCAGTCACCCTGCAAAGTTTAGTGATGCTAACCCCTAGCCTCTGACCGCCCACCGCGCCCACAGACATTCTATGTTACAGATACAAATATAAACACGCCTGGAACATCCTTAAAGGACCCCAGAATAATAAAAAATGAATCCTTATCAACACTGTCTACGAAATACAACTCCTGAGGCGCAATGTTTTACCAACTTTTGCACTGAATATTTACAGAAAAGTTCGGGATTATATTTTAGATCACATTCCCACAGAGGCAACTTTTACAGAATCACAGAAAATGTTTCATGTTGCCCAGTGATTCTTTAAAACTAAAATTAAAACTCAACCATAAACAGGGATGTGTGTGTGTGTGTAGACCCAAATTTTCGGTGTATATACTTTGAGAGTATTTTTTATCATAAAGGTAAAAAATACTTTTTACATTCTACATTTTAACATTACATTTAGAGAACATAAGCTCTTTGTTTATCTGCAGGCAGCTATATATAAAGTATACCTGGACATGCAGTTTACCTATAGATGGTTTTGAGAGGTCTTCTGTTCCTCAAGCTCGGCTGGAGACCAGGCCTGTTGGGAAATAACTTGATCTCTCTGGCTGTTGATGGCAGCTAGCGGCCCGCAGCCGGTCCAGCCATCACAACCCGGTTGCTCCGCCACTCCCGATAAATTAATGTAGCCTAACACTGATAGTCGACATTCCTTAATAATCCAAGCAGTCGATTGGCTTTTATGAATCTAATAGTCGATAGGTCTTTATGAACGTGGATGTCGATAACATTTAAACCTTGAAACGAGAAGTCTTTTCCAATTCTCATGCGCGGCTACTTGGGGTGGACGGTACAACGACGGCCTCACTTCTTGCAGATCAGAGTTCAATCCCCCGACTACCCAAGTGGTTGGGCACAATTCCTATCGTCCGTCCTATCCTAAGTCCTGTTGCCTGGAGCGGCCCGCAGGTCTACATATTCACCACAGCCCGAACTAACCGGGCTGTGGTGAATATGTCCGTATCTAAATGCAATAATAATAATTATAATAATAATAATAAAAATAATTACAATAATCTACACCTGTGAGCCAGGGGTCGACTTACCATGGTGTCGTTCAAGGGTTTAATGAGGGTGATGACTCCTGTTGTGTTGCTAATGTTAAAATAACCGAGGTCGTCCACCGACCCGTTGAGACTATACTGGACCTCCGCGTTCTCCAGAGCGTCCATGTCCGTGGCTGTGACCCGGAGCACGGCCTTCCCTGGGATGTGGTCCGTGGCGATGTTCTGTTCGTAGGCCTGTGGATGTTATGAGAGAACACTGTGAGGGGAAGAGATCCGTTCAATCGTGTGCAAAATGATGCGGAAGAACAGCTTCCTCTCACTCTGAGGGAAGATTCATAGTCTTCAAGTTGAATGACCATTGAGAATCATGTTTTGTCTTAACATTTAAGACAATAGACGTTGAGAAAGTCTTGTTACTGTGAGAGCTTAATATAGAGAACATAAGCTCTTTGTTTATCTACAGGCAGCTATATATATACACTGAAACTTTACGTAATGAACATGGAACCTATTCGAAGAGAGACAGAAACAAAAGAGAGACACAAAGGAGAGAGAGAGCGGGAGAGAGACTTGAATCGCAATGAAATGGAGTGACTTGAACTCGCGGTGAGTTCGCGCGGCCACAGTGGTACACACCCTGGCCGAAGTAGTTAAGGCAGGCGTCCAGGAATCATCAAGTTGCGATTTCAAGTCCCTCCGTTGCCTCAAAATGAGAGAGATCTAGCCGATCTCACCGCCTAGATCTGCCGCAAGGGGGAGGAAAATGTTGACAAGAAGACATAAGGAGAAAATCTGAGTGCGACTTGCGTGTCTTACCGGCTGGTCGAAGATGGGAGGGTTGTCGTTGATGTCTTTTACCCTGACCTTGAAGGAACACGCCTCCTGCAGCGCCTCCTTCGGCGCCTCGTCCCGGGCGATCACCGTCAGGAAGAACTCTTTGTCTTCTTGGTCACGGTCCAGTCTCTGAGACACACGGGTGAGAGACACATAAGTAAAACACAAACACAGGCGAGACTGCCAGGTGAGAAACAAAGGTGTTACACAGGTAACATCACTGCATTGAACGATATAAAGATTTCCCATATGTCCTCATATCCATTCCAAGTACTCAATGTTCCGAGCTCATTCGAAACTAGTACAGACTAGGGAACTATCAGGGGAAAGCACCAAGCCATTACGACTATATAGCACTAAGAAGGGGTCAGGATAAGGATCTGGGATGGGACGGAGGGAAGGAATGGTGCCCAACCACTTGGACGGCTGGGGATTGAACGGCGACCTGCATGAAGCGAAACCGTCGCTCTACCGTCCTGCCCCAAGTGGTTGGGCTAGTACAGACGAGGCTACCCTGATGGTGGTGAATACTGCAGGGGGGGGGCTACCTACCTTGGTGGTGGTGACTACTGCAGGGGGGGCTACCTACCCTGGTGGTGGTGACTAGTGCAGGGGGGGGGGGCTACCTACCCTGGTGGTGGTGACTACTGCAGGGGGGGGCTACCTACCCTGGTGGTGGTGGTGACTACTGCAGGGGGGGCTACCTACCCTGGTGGTGGTGACTACTGCAGGGGGGGGGCTACCTACCCTGGTGGTGGTGACTAGTGCAGGGGGGGCTACCTACCCTGGTGGTGGTAGTGACTACTGCAGGGGGGGGCTACCTACCCTGGTGGTGGTGACTACTGCAGGGGGGGGGCTTCCTACCCTGGTGGTGGTGACTACTGCAGGGGGGGGCTACCTACCCTGGTGGTGGTGGTGACTACTGCAGGGGGGGCTACCTACCCTGGTGGTGGTGACTACTGCAGGGGGGGGGCTACCTACCCTGGTGGTGGTGACTAGTGCAGGGGGGGGCTACCTACCCTGGTGGTGGTGGTGACTACTGCAGGGGGGGCTACCTACCCTGGTGGTGGTGACTACTGCAGGGGGGGGCTACCTACCCTGGTGGTGGTGACTACTGCAGGGGGGGCTACCTACCCTGGTGGTGGTGGTGACTACTGCAGGGGGGGCTACCTACCCTGGTGGTGGTGACTACTGCAGGGGGGGGCTACCTACCCTGGAGGTGGTGACTAGTGCAGGGGGGGCTACCTACCCTGGTGGTGGTGACTACTGCAGGGGGGGGGCTACCTACCCTGGTGGTGGTGACTACTGCAGGGGGGGGCTACCTACCCTGGTGGTGGTGACTAGTGCAGGGGGGCTACCTACCCTGGTGGTGGTGACTACTGCAGGGGGGGGCTACCTACCCTGGTGGTAGTGACTACTGCAGGGGGGGCTACCTACCCTGGTGGTGGTGACTACTGCAGGGGGGGGGCTACCTACCCTGGTGGTAGTGACTACTGCAGGGGGGCTACCTACCCTGGTGGTGGTGATCTTGCCGTTGCCGTTGTCGGTGACGATGTCGAAGCTGTCGAAGGAGTTGAGGAGGGAGTAGGTGACCTGGCCGTTGACCCCGTGGTCCTCGTCAGTAGCCTGGACCTGCGGTGACGGGGAGGCGCTGGCGTTAGTGCAGGCAGGAGCCGCTCAGGCCACAAGATGGGACGGATGATGACACCCACACGGGGTACTGTCTCTCTCACACACGGGGTACTGTCTCTCTCTCACGGGGTACTGTCTCTCTCTCACACGGGGTACTGTCTCTCTCTCACACGGGGTACTGTCTCTCTCTCATACGGGGTACTGTCTCTCTCTCACGCGGGGTACTCTCTCTCTCACACGGGGTACTCTCTCTCTCACACGGGGTACTGTCTCTCTCACACACACGGGGTACTGTCTCTCTCTCACACGGGGAACTGTCTTTCTCACACATGGGGTACTGTCTCTCACACACACGGGGTACTGTCTCTCTCACGCGGGGTACTGTCTCTCTCTCACACGGGGTACTGTCTCTCTCTCATACGGGGTACTGTCTCTCTCTCACACGGGGTACTCTCTCTCTCACACGGGGTACTCTCTCTCTCACACGGGGTACTGTCTCTCTCACACACACGGGGTACTGTCTCTCTCTCACACGGGGAACTGTCTTTCTCACACATGGGGTACTGTCTCTCACACACACGGGGTACTGTCTCTCTCACACGGGGTACTGTCTCTCTCACACGGGGTACTGTCTCTCTCTCATACGGGGTACTGTCTCTCTCTCACACGGGGTACTCTCTCTCTCACACGGGGTACTGTCTCTCTCTCACACGGGGTACTGTCTCTCTCTCACACGGGGTACTGTCTCTCTCACACACACGGGGTACTGTCTCTCTCTCACACGGGGAACTGTCTTTCTCACACATGGGGTACTGTCTCTCACACACACGGGGTACTGTCTCTCTCACACGGGGTACTGTCTCTCTCACACACGGGGTACTGTCTCTCTCTCACACGGGGTACTGTCTCTCTCACACACGGGGTACTGTCTCTCTCTCACACGGGGTACTGTCTCTCACACGGGATACTGTCTCTCTCACACGGGGTACTGTCTCTCTCTCACACGGGGTACTGTCTCTCACACACGGGGTACTGTTTCTCTCTCACACGGGGTACTGTCTCTCTCTCACACGGGTTACTGTCTCTCTCACACACGGGGTACTGTCTCTCTCATACGGGGTACTATCTCTCTCTCACATGGGGTACGTCTCTCTCACACGGGGTACGTCTCTCTCACACGGGGTACTGTCTCTCTCTCACACGGGGTACTGTCTCTCTCACACACGGGGTACTGTCTCTCTCATACGGGGTACTGTCTCTCTCTCACACGGGGTAGCCTCTCTCACACGGGGTACGTCTCTCTCACACGGGGTACTGTCTCTCTCTCACACGGGGTACTGTCTCTCTCTCACACGGGGTACTGTCTCTCTCACACACGGGGTGCTGTCTCTCTCACACTGGGGTACTGTCTCTCTCACACTGGGGTACTGTCTCTCTCACACGGGGTACTGTCTCTCTCACACGGGGTACTGTCTCTCTCACACGGGGTACTGTCTCTCACACACGGGGGTACTGTCTCTCACACGGGGTACAGTCTCTCACACGGGATACTGTCTCTCTCACACGGGGTACTATCTCTCTCTCTCTCACGGGATACTGTGTCTCTCTCACACGGGGTACTGTCTCTCACACGGGTACAGTCTTTCACACGGGGTACTGTCTCTCTCACGGGGTACAGTCTCTCACACGGGGTACAGTCTTTCACACGGGGTACTGTCTCTCACACGGGTACAGTCTTTCACACGGGGTACAGTCTCTCACACGGGATACTGTCTCTCTCACACGGGGTACTGTCTCTCACACGGGGTACTGTCTCTCACACGGGGTACAATCACTCACAAGGGGGTACAGTCAATCACACGGGGTACAGTCACTCACACGGGGTACAGTCTCTCACAAGGGGGTACAGTCACTCACAAGGGTGTACAGTCTCTCTCAAAAGGGGTACAGTCTCTCTCACACGGGGTACAGTCTCTTTCACACGGGGTACAATCTCTCTCACACGGGGTACAGTCTCTCTCATACGGGGTACAGTCTCTCACACGGGGTACCGTCTCTCTCACACGGGGTACAGTCTCTCACACTGGGTACCGTCTCTCTCACACGGGGTACAGTCTCTCACACGGGGTACTGTCTCTCTCACACGGGGTACAGTCTCTCACACTGGGTATAGTCTCTCTTACACTGGGTACAGTCTCTCTCACACGGGGTACCGTCTCTCTCACACGGGGTACAGTCTCTCTCACACGGGGTACAGTCTCTCACACGGGGTACCGTCTCTCTCACACGGGGTACAGTCTCTCACACGGGGTACCGTCTCTCTCACACGGGGTACAGTCTCTCACACTGGGTACCGTCTCTCTCACACGGGGTACAGTCTCTCACACGGGGTACCGTCTCTCTCACACGGGGTACAGTCTCTCACACGGTACGTACCAGCACTACATTCTGGCCGGCCGTCGTGTTCTCAGTGACAGTGATACCGTCGTAGCCAGCGCAGTTGCTAAACACGGGCTTGTGAGTATTCTCATCTGTGAGTAACAAGGAAAATGTATTACCTTCCCGCCAAAAAAAAACACTTTACGTTCCCGCCAAAAAAAAAAAACACAACTCATCATCTGGTATCACTGGGACTGTGCCCCGCCCCCCCCCCCCCCCTCGCTCTGATGCTAATTTGTTATTCCTAATTATCCAAATTTGAATTCATGCACAGCCTAGAAATATACAATAATTTGTAAATATTGATGAGTTTGTAAAGCATTCCATAAGATAATTACTCATGAATGTCAAGAGGGGAAAATTTTGCCTTGATAATCAAATTGATTTTTATAGATAAAACAACGTCTAAAAATAATAATAAAATAATTGATGATAATATAATAAAGTAATCACACTCTACATCATCAAGAAAGAATAGAACTGTATTTATGTTATTGAGGCTTATTACTTTTACAAGAGTAACAATTTGGGACACGAAAAGTGTAACAACATTGTATAAGGAGAGCAAGACCCAGTTCAAGAGGTGTTATGCCTTATACAAGTGGAGTAAGACCTCATACAAATATATAACCTTCCACAAGACGTCAAAGGTCATGTATAAGGAGTTTAAAGACCTGTACTAGAAGTTCACCTGTTCAACTTAACCAATACTATAACGGTGTGCGTACACACCCACCCATAATACAGTATATATATATATATATATATATATATATATATATATATATATATATATATATATATATATGAGACTTAAATGTCTACATTTATTCCTATGCAAGGTCAAATACAAGAGTAAAAATACTTTATACAAGCTGCAAACACAAACAAGTTTACGCCATGCATTTAAGTCAAAGTTTCCACAGTGTTGCACCTTCTGTGGTAACTCTTAAGAGCAGTCAAACCTCTACGTCATGCAGCTGCAGGAAACACACGCTACGAAAACAAAGCCTAGCTACTTGGTAACTAACAGCTGTGTTTGTGACTCCTTCATGTGTTGAGCATTGATAATGCCGTAACGCCATATGTGGATCATTGATAATGCCGTAACGCCATATGTGGATCATTGTTAATGCCGTAGCACCATGTGTGGATCATTGTTAATGCCGTAGCACCATGTGTGGATCATTAAATAATTCCTTCGCGTGCAGGAATAATGACTGATCAAGTGTCAGAGGCAAGACCTGACCTGACCTGACCTCATTAGAGGTGATATTCGTTGCTGTCTCAGACGGTGGATGAGCATTTATGACTCATGTTGGCTTCAGTAAGGTTAATGTCTTAATGTGTTTAACAACTTCCTCTACACTGTTAAATCCTAATGGTAATCTTATTTGGTTGGTAACGCTGCGCTGTATTCATGTTCTAATGGTCTGTTACTCTGCACTGTGTAGAGCACAGAGTATAGCCTAATGGTCTGTTACTCTGCACTGTTTAAAGTGCAGAGTATAGCCTAATGGTCTGTTACTCTGCACTGATGTTCTAATAGTCTATTCAATTGTCGATTTTCAGTGGAACGTCAACTAGTGTCAAGTCTGTTCAGAGTCGATTCTCAGTGGAACTGAGAAGTCGTGGAACAGAACCCAGAACTCACTGTTCCACTGAGAAATCGGTGGAACAGTGGAGTCGTGTTAGTTCAAACACTTACACGACTCAACTCCGGATATATTCAAAGCAATAGAGTTTAAGATGGTATTGTGCGGGTATAATTGTGTTGTGCACAGGTGGGGGGGGGTATAATAACTGTGCTGGTATATTATCTTATTTTTTATATAGGACAAACATATCAATTGTGACACTAGCTCTCCACATATGTTAGTTGCTTAATTTAGAAACTGCACTTGTGGTCGATCTCGAACCCATTGTTGATGTGACGACTTATACTGAATTTTGTATCTAGCTCATCAAGATTGTAACTTGCTTAGCTAAATGAATTTTGGGGTTCAGTCCCTGAGCCCATTATGGCCTCAATAATCCTTTCCACTACCGCCCACAATATGGGTATGGGGTGCATAATAAATGAACTAAACTATATATTATCTTACTGTGCATGTTATTGTGTTGTGCATCTGTGACGCGTAATAACTTGTATTGCACATGTTTCCTTCCTGTTCTTGATTCGAAATGTAAAGAACTAAGCAATTTATTAAATATCTGGTGAAGAATGAATTCCTCAATGTTGGGAAGTTTATAGAACCATCAATGAAGTGGGAGGGGTAGAACCATCAATGAAGTGGGGGTGTAGAACCATCAATGAAGGGGGTGGTAGAATCATCACTGTAGGGAAGTCTGTTGAACCAATGTAGGGATGTTTGTAAAACCATGAATGTAGGGAGACTTCAGAACTATCAATGTTAGGAGGCGTCAGAACTATCAATGTAGGGGGAGGTTTGTAGAACCATCAATGTAGGGAGGCTTCAGAATCATCAATGTAGTGAGGGTAGGTTTTTCAGAACCGTGCCGATACATTTCGAGCATTTATGTCTCTAGGTATTTAAGGGAAAGGGGAGAGAGGGAGGGAGGGAAGTGGAATTCTTCTAAATTACATGTAGCAATTTACCATGCACAAGAAAAAAAAAATATCTTTCAGACTAGTTACTATTCTTACCCTTTACCCAAGTGAGTCGAGCTGTAGCGAGTAGAAGAACACGCCGGATTGAAACACATTAATATCACCATCTTTTTAGACTTTTTTTTGTTTTAGTATATAACCAAAATATCCAATATATACTCAATATTAAACCTTTATTGGCAATAATTTCCTTTATATGGAAATTCTGTAAAATGTACAGTTTTTATTTTTTATCAAATTTGATTTTATTAATTTTCAAAGTACTTATGTAAGTAAGTCTTACCATACATTGGTCTGCTTGCTGGTGGCAAAAAAAATAAAACAGGTCTTTAATTTATCATTGTATATCCTGTATTCTACACTATTACAGTTTCTAGATTTATAAGTTTGCAGTTTTTCAAAGAACATAAATGTATACAAATTTTGTCTAAATTAAATATGGTATTCAGGGAGTACCATATGGTATTCATCTATCGTATCTTATACAACAAAAAATGATAAAAATATTCATAAAAGTTTAGTTGAGTTATACTAATGGTTCAAAAGATATACTCAAAGGAAAACGAGAATTGTGTTAGAATAATATTTATCACGTATGTAAATTAGAAGCAAAGTCTGTTTTTCCAATGTTCTCGAAGCTGAAAAAAGCAGAAAATAAAATATGCTTAATGCAATAATATAAACAGCCTTTTAACCAAAAGGTTACAACTCTAGAAATAATAGGGCATGGACAGTACATAGTCCTCAGTCACTTGCAATATATTAATATGCTCTTATTTTTTTCAATTCAATTGCGTTCCAATGAACATTCTGTACAAAACAATACTGCACATTACTAATGTTATTGCTGTGTATTGTGCAACATTCTAAAGTGTACAATGCAACAAAATGTTGCTTACCACTAACATATTGATGCATACTACGCAACATATTGCTGCCCACTACGCAACATATTGTATACAACTTAACTGTGTAAGCTGGCCATTAAAGCTTACCAAAAGTACAGGCAAGAACTCCCGACATAGAGTTAAGAGAAGCACTAAATAAGGCCAGACCTGTATCAGATAAGACCAGACCTGCATCAGATAAGGCCAGACCTGCATCAAATAAGGCCAGACCTGTATCAGATAAGGCCAGACCTGCATTATACAATGCCAGGGCTGCACCTTGAAAGGGCCAAGCCTGCACTATATAAGTCCAAGTCTGCCCCCACATTAAGCCAGGCTACCCATGTCACCCTCTCTCTAACCCCCAACACACCCACATATCCCCCTACCACCAAGACTGTTCAACTTCACGCAGTTTAACTTACCTATGATGCTGACTTTAACTGGTACTGAGGTATTTAGGCGAGACAAGTCGATGGCCACAGCCTGGAAATTGAACTCCCAGACGTCGCTGAAGGTGTTTACTCCCACTGTGATGATTCCAGTTTGATTGTCAATGATAAACTGGATGCAGAAAACAGAATGTAGACAAAGGAAAAAAAGTCACATTAGACAAATAGTAAAACCATGAAAATGAGAAAAAACACGAGTTTAATTTTTGTTTAAAGAATATCAAACTTGCACAATTGCTAATAGTTTGAACAGATATAAGGCCTAAAGAAGTGGTTTTAGTTCAAGCATTATCTTGAATTATATATGATTTTATAAATGATATTATAATATATATATTATAAATGAAAGATGTATGATTTACAAGATATATGATTTATAAGATAGTGATTTATAAGATACGTGATTTATAAGATACGTGATTTATAAGATACGTGATTTATAAGATACGTGATTTTTAGATATAGAGTTTAATTAAAGAAATGTTGTTGATGACGAGCTCTAAGAACACTACATGTTAATAGTGTAAATAATGTCAGGCTTTACACTTTAAGGTTCGCCTAGTTTTAAATTGTACGCTTCTGGGATTCAAGAGGAAACGTATTGTAGCTTTTATAAGTTATAACACTTTGCCAACTTTTTTGATAGGATACGCTATAAACCTTTACAAACTTTCATAAACCGTTAATACTATAATATTTAAACAAATATATATGGTTATAAGTTTAAGGGTTATATCTAAGGGATATATACACCCAAGTGCGTACTTAGCTTCTCGGTGTATATACATTAAGTGTATATTTTATTCCTGGACTAAAAATACTTGCTGTATGGCCAGAAGCAATTGCGGTAGGAATTATAAACCTCCAGAGGTTTATGAGGTTTATTAATACACAAACCTTTAAACCCATCACCAAAGCAAACAATTATTTCATTTCGAATTATTGTTCTTACATCAATTCTCATTACTTTGCATTTATCTGGGTTAAAATCGACAAGCCAGCTTTTCGACAATCTCTCATGCTTATCCAATACGTCTAGCATATTACGTTTATAGTTCTCGTATGTTTTAATTCTCCGCATGTAAATTTTCATTATCCGTAAACTCAAATGAATTCATCAATTTCCTCATTTAGGAGGTCGACATATCGGAGATGTTACAGGGCCTTATACTGACCCCTTGCGGCAACACTGCCAAGCATCCTTTAAGAATTCGAGTTTTTTGAGTCCTAAGATATAAATGCTAGGAAGGTAACTATCAGGAGAAAGCACCAAGACATTATGACTATATAGCACTAGGAAGGGGTCAGGATAAGGATTTAGGATGGGACGGGGGGAAAGGAGTGGTAGTGTAGTAGTACTTATAATGAAAACGTTTATTGCAAGCAAGCTTATCAAGCTTATCTTAGCAGACTCACCGTGCCGGGAGGCTGAACGTTCTCCAGTTTGTAGGTCTCGAAGTTGTTATCTGCGTCCCTGGCCACCACCGTCCCCACGTACGCCCCTGCTCGGGGAAAAAGGAACAGAGAAAGGTAATCAAATGTTTTCCTGGATTGTACCGGGAGTACCTGGATTGAGGTACTGGGAGTTCTTTTACTCCCTAAAGCCTGGCCTAGGGTCAGGCTGAACTTGTGATAACTTGGTCCAACAGGCTGTTAGATAAGTATAAACTAGCTTGGTCCAGCAGATGAAGAAAGTAAAGAGGAAAATGTTAGTTATGTACGACTCTAAGGAGAGTTTTTGCATGTACGACTCTAGGGAGAATTTTGAATATACGACTCTAGGGAGAGTTTTGAATGTACGACTCTAGGGAGAGTTTTGTACGTACGACTCTACGGAGAATTTTGAATGTACGACTCTAGGGAGAGTTTGGAATGTACGACTCTAGGGAGAGTTTTGTACGTACGACTCTAGGGAGAGTTTTGTACGTACGACTCTAGGGAGAGTTTTGTACGTACGACTCTAGGGAGAGTTTGTACGCACGACTCTAGGGAGAGTTTTGTATATACGACTCTAGGGAAAGTTTTGTACGTACGACTCTAGGGAGAGTTTTGAACGCACGACTCTAGGGAGAGTTTTGTACGGACGACTCTAGGGAGAGTTTTGTATGTACGACTCTAGGGAGAGTTTTGTAAGTACGACTCTAGGGAGAGTTTTGTAAGTACGACTCTAGGAAGAGTTTTGTAAGTACGACTCTAGGAAGAGTTTTGTAAGTACGACTCTAGGAAGAGTTTTGTAAGTACGACTCTAGGAAGAGTTTTGTAAGTACGACTCTAGGAAGAGTTCTGTACGCACGACTCTAGGGAGAGTTTTATATGGTTTACTCTGCAAATAGTTTTAAACATGCAACTCTGTATAGAGATTTGTAAATATAACTATAGAGAGTTTTGTTCATAAGACTCTACACTGTTTTATGTAGAGTTTTATATATATAGGAATATGCAGTTTTATACAAATAACTGCACAGAGGCTAAGAAAATGAGAAAGTTAATATAAAGACTTTAACCACGAATTTACAGAGCGAGAAATATTGAGTAAAGTTAACAAGTAGTTTTGTAATTTCAAACTGCTAATAATAGGCTAAAGGGAAGAGAAAGTTATCAGAAAGCTTCCGACATAGGAATCTACACAGAAAGGTAAGATGTAAAAGATATAACATCATCAAGGAAAGAGGAAAAGAAAGGTAGCTGAGGAAAGTTAACACACACACCTGCAGTGGCGAACTCGGAGACGGAGAAGAGGTAATGGTCCTTGTCGAAGTACGGGGGCTCTGGGGTGTCCATCACTTTGATCCTCGCCTGCACCACCGCCTGCTTCCTCGACGACCGGGCGGCCCCTGGAGGCACCGCGATACTTGACCAGTGATACATCAGTTCGATGGTCAAACCACACACACAGAAGATGAAGAAACGACGACGTTTCGGTCCGTCCTGGACCATTACCAAGTCGTGTGTACATACGGCTTGATAACGGTCCCGGGATGGACCGAAATGTCGTCGTTTCTTCATCTTCTGGTGTGTTTGGTCATCATATCTTCAGCCACGTTATTGAGACTTATCGTCTGCTACATTAATACATTTAGGCGGATATGCATTGAAGGCTTTATACAATGATGTAGTTATACACTGGTGTAGTTACATACTGCTGAAATGCCAGTGAGCATCGTTGAATTATGTGCTTACTGGAACAGGGAATGAGTCTTAACGAACAGATTGCTCGTTGAGGCGTTGACCTGACATGGATAGTCTTGTGGCTGGATGGAGTTAACAATTTGATGAACCAACACAAAGGTTCCTCAGTTTGTAAATAACGAATATATTGCAGAATTTTTTTTTTAAAGATGTCCATGATGGTGAGGTATTATCAGTTGATATATCTACTGCCAGAATATCATATCTAAATTTGTAGTTGACTTTTCCATATCTTGAACATTCTTAATGTTCACTCTAAATAACACATTGTCTAACAACAGATAAGTGACCCTAGCAATGCTCAGTTGCAGCCCTCTGTAATGCCCAACTGGGCAATTAACTAGATCATATTGGGTCGATAAACTGTGCAGTGATAAAAACTTCCTTGTTAGGTCTTCTTAAGCCATCATCTATTTCATCAGACTTCTACACACCCTACATTAACTCATTTGTCACTGGTGGCAGCGGTGGGATATTGTATTATATGTACCTGGGTATTACTAGGAGCAATCACAAGGAGCGACAATTAAATGATGCAATGATGCTGGTATATCGTTAAACAGTGATAAAATAAAGTATGGATGCAATATGGTGAAATATTGACAATTATATGTTGATGCAGCAATACAATGATGTATGATAATGTGACAGTGATTTATTAAACAGGGAAATTATAAACTTCTGCCACCTCACGTAACAATAAGTTAACCCAATTAAAAGCTAACTATTTAATCCGATTACCACCTAATCGAACTCGTATTAGCCCAATTATCACCTAACCCAGAGCTGATTAGGCAATCACCAATTAATCTTCTTATCGTGTATCCAAGGCAAAGCTTAAACCAATCTCCAAATATCACAGCAACAAACAACGCATCTATCACTCCAACCAATCACATCATAAGGTACCAGACAACCCAATCAACATTCCATCCAATCGCCAACTTACCCGAGCACCCATCAAAGCTAAACCATCCTTTATCCTAACCAGTATGTAACCTCATCAACACGCAATCCCCCCACACAACACTGCTCACTTACCCTGATCTTCGGCGTAGATGTGAAGAAGATATTCCCCCTTCGTGTGTTCGAAATCCAGAGGTCGGACGTTGTAGAGAACTCCACCATCGTCGATCTCAAAGTGCTCAGGGTCGCTGACGCTGTACTTTATGAGTCCATGTTCATCCATATCATTGTCTGTGGCGTGGACCTGTGAAGACCAACATGGAGAGGAGAAGGTGAGGAAAGGAATAAGGAGAAGCGAGATGGATATAGAACAAGAATAATGGGCAGGTGGATATAGAAAGAAGGGTTGGGAGGAAGATGAGAATAGCAATAGCGAGAAACAGGGGGTAGATAAATATTGAAAGGGAAAAGGATGGGTAGATGCATATAGAAATAAGGGAGAAAGAGGGGTAGGATGTAGAGGGATATAGAAATGAAGATGGGGTAATGAAGGATGTAGATGAATATAGAAAGGAGTATGTAAGAGGGGATAGGGTGTAGATGGATGCAGAAAGGAGTCAGAGAGAGCAGGTAGTGAGGATGTAGAGGGCTACAGAAAGGAGTAAGAAAGAAAGATAGGTAGGGAAGTGAGAGATGGATAACTGGGATGTCTCCCGGACGCAGGTTCGAATCCCCGTCACGGCCCTTGTGGATTTGTTCTCTCGAGAGATGGATATATTGAGAGTTTCTCCCTCATCCCCAGCACTCACCTGCAAGATGGAGCTGTGAACGGGCAGGTTCTCCCGGACTGCTTGCTGGTACTCCGTGTGGGTGAACTTCGGTTGGAATCTGTTCTCCAGATTACGCCTCCGTAGGTGACGGAGTTCGTGGTGGTGACGGACCTTGTGGTGGTGCTGGTCACGGTACTGGCGGTGCTGCGGGCGGTGATTCTGCTCGTCAGGAGGAAGCCAATGTTCGACTCGAGATTGTGATGATGATGGTGCTTCCTCGGTGAGCCACCTCCATGACGAAATCGACGGCGATGATAGTGATGATGGTGATGCTGCAAGGGGAGAGAGAGAGAGAGACGCGTTAGAAAGAACGTGATGAAGCTGTTCGGACCTTAATGCCATTATCGCTGCAATAATAATAATATTATTGTTCAACACGGGTTATGTTTTGATTGATTAAGGGGGAAAAGAGAAAGGCATTTTTTTGGCGGGAGTGTACAGAAGGGGAGGAGGGGGGAGGGAAGTAGTGTTGGTGATGTTGGTAGTGGTGGTGTTGTGTTGGTGTTGTAGTGGTGGTGGTGGTAGTGGAGGCTGTGGTGATGGGAGCATTACAGGAGAGGGAGGGAGGGAAGAACTGACATGTGGGGTAGGGGGGGGGGGTACTATTGCAGCAGCAACACCATAGTGCCAGAGTCACATAATGCAGCAGCACTTTCAACTTTATTTATCAAGGCGAACATAAACAACTCGCTTTCCAATACTTTTCTTTAAAGAAAACACGTTACATTTGCCTTTATAGTTTATATATATATATATATATATATATATATATATATATATATATATATATATATATATATATATATATATATATATATATATATATATATTCAATACGAAATGAAAAATGAACCTAGTAGTATTTTATATCCTTCATCCCCAGAACTAACAATCAATTTCCCTCCTATCAAATGGGTCAGTAGTCAGGTGTCCAATATTCAATACGTAGGGATAAAAGGGAGAGAGAGAGAGAGAGAGAGAGAGAGAGAGAGAGAGAGAGAGAGAGAGAGAGAGAGAGAGAGAGAGAGAGAGAGAGAGAGAGAGAGAGAGAGAGAGAGAGAGAGAGAGAGAGGGGTGGAAGTAATTAGCAGAACGACGAGAATGAAAATATATATAATAAAATATATATACTCAATTTAAAAAAAACGTGAGAAAATAAAAGAAAACGAGATAAAGAGACAGAGACCGACATGGACGGAGAAAAAACAGTGAAAAAGAAAAAATGACAGCGAGAAACAGACAGATCAAAAGCAGTATCATATTAATCATCGGGGGATCGAACTCCAACCATGCAAAAAGCAAAGTCATCCCTTTACCTGTGTACTCTATATGTGAGTCAGTCACCCGTTCATATGCGTACAGCCGTGCACATCTCACCCGTTCATGTGCGTACAGCCGTGCACATCTCACCCGTTCATGTGCGTACAGCCGTGCACATCTCACCCGTTCATGGACGTACAGGCGTGCACATCTCACCCGTTCATGTGCGTACAGACGTACACATCTCACCCGTTCATGGACGTACAGACGTACACATCCCATGTAGATCTGACCACATGTAAACAGTCAACATATTTAATGCCACATCATAGCGTGATTGATGCCCCATTGTCGGGGACACGAAGCCTACTGGCGCCCCCATGGACCTCCCACAGCATGCGACCCACAACAGTTGCATATACCTCCTGGGTACCTCAACTAAGTGAACAGAGGCATCAGATGTAAGGGAACGTACCTAAATGTTTCGCTCAAGTCACCTGCTTGATGGGGTTCTGGGAGTTCTTCTACTCCCCAAGCCCGGCCTGAGGCCAGGGTAGACGGCCTGAGGCCAGGGACGGTCGGGGATTGAACGCCGACCTGCATGAAGCGAGATCGTCGCTCTACCGTCCAGCCCAAGTAATTGGTCCTATTCTATAACCAAATAGATCAAACTATCCCCCCTCCCCCCACCTCACCCATAAATTCCCTATCAAGATTCCCGACCACAGGAAACAAGAGATATAATACCACTTACACCTTGAAACAAATTCCCCGACAACAGGGAAATTCCCCAACCAAATGACCCCGACACTGAGGAGACAAATTCCCCATTATCGCAAGAGGAATTCCCATAGCAGCTTCCCCCATCACACGCGAGAGGCAGAAATTCCCTAGCGGATGACGCCATTCTCCCCCGCCAGGAATAGTAGACACCCCAGTATTGCCAAACACCTTCCGCCAGTGACCCCCGCGGCTCTGAGGGGAAACCACTACGGGTCCACGTCGTTAAAGGCTCAGTAACTGCTTATTAAAACATGGCAACAACGCCGCTTAGACAACATAATGGCGCTCGGGGATCGAGCTTGGAGCCGAGGGGTTCCGACTGAATTGTTTGGATTTTTTTTTTTTTTGGAGGTAAGTCAAGTTAGGTGTAAATATGTTAGTTGTTCTTTGTTTTATAAAAATGTGTATATTCTTTAGTCTATATACTGTGGGGGTAGAATGTATATTCTTGGAGTACATATTGTGTGTACTGTGTATGTATATAATGTGAGTACAGTGTATATACTGTGTGCTGTGTATATATACTGTGAGTACTGTGTATGTATATAATGTGAGTACAGTGTATATACTGTGTGCTGTGTATATATACTGTGAGTACTGTGTATGTATATAATGTGAGTACAGTGTATATACTGTGTGCTGTGTATATATACTGTGAGTACTGTGTATGTATATAATGTGAGTACAGTGTATATACTGTGTGCTGTGTATATATACTGTGAGTACTGTGTATGTATATAATGTGAGTACAGTGTATATACTGTGTGCTGTGTATATATACTGTGAGTACTGTGTATGTATATAATGTGAGTACAGTGTATATACTGTGTGCTGTGTATATATACTGTGAGTACTGTGTATGTATATAATGTGAGTACAGTGTATATACTGTGTGCTGTGTATATATACTGTGAGTACTGTGTATGTATATAATGTGAGTACAGTGTATATACTGTGTGCTGTGTATATATACTGTGAGTACTGTGTATGTATATAATGTGAGTACAGTGTATATACTGTGTGCTGTGTATATATACTGTGAGTACTGTGTATGTATATAATGTGAGTACAGTGTATATACTGTGTGCTGTGTATATATACTGTGAGTACTGTGTATGTATATAATGTGAGTACAGTGTATATACTGTGTGCTGTGTATATATACTGTGAGTACTGTGTATGTATATAATGTGAGTACAGTGTATATACTGTGTGCTGTGTATATATACTGTGAGTACTGTGTATGTATATAATGTGAGTACAGTGTATATACTGTGTGCTGTGTATATATACTGTGAGTACTGTGTATGTATATAATGTGAGTACAGTGTATATACTGTGTGCTGTGTATATATACTGTGAGTACTGTGTATGTATATAATGTGAGTACAGTGTATATACTGTGTGCTGTGTATATATACTGTGAGTACTGTGTATGTATATAATGTGAGTACAGTGTATATACTGTGTGCTGTGTATATATACTGTGAGTACTGTGTATGTATATAATGTGAGTACAGTGTATATACTGTGTGCTGTGTATATATACTGTGAGTACTGTGTATGTATATAATGTGAGTACAGTGTATATACTGTGTGCTGTGTATATATATACTGTGAGTACTGTGTATGTATATAATGTGTATATATGTGCTGTGTATGCATATACTGTGTGTTCTGTGTATGTATATACTTTGACTTTTCAGCATTTCTGCCTACAATTTACGTCTTGAATAATGTACTAGTACACAACAGTTCTCTTTTTGTTGTATTTCCTGGTGGCTGTGTATGCTCAGCTTCACCACACAAGGTGGACAAAAGGAAGGGAAGGGAACTATCAGGGGAAAGCGCCAAGCCATTACCACTCTATAATACTGGGAAGGGATGGGACGGAGGGAAGGAATGGTGCCCAACCACTTGGACGGTTGGAGACTGACCGCCGACCTGCAGGAAGCGAGACCGTCGCTCTACCGTCCAGCCCCAAGTACTCGCCTAGTTGTGCTTGCGGGGGTTGAGCTCTGGCTCTTCGGTCCCGCCTCTCAACTGTCAATCAACTGATGTACAGGTTCCTGAGCCTACTGGGCTCTGTCATATCTACACTTGAAACTGTGTATGGAGTCAGCCTCCACCACATCACTTCCTAATGCATTCCATTTATCGATCACTCTCACACTGAAAAAGTTCTTTCTAATGTCTGTGGCTCATTTGGGCACTCAGTTTCCGCCTGTCCCCCTAGTGCGTGTGCCCCTTGTGTTAAATTGTCTGTCTTTATCTACCCTATCAATTCCTTTGAGAATATTGTATGTGGTGATCATGTCCCCCCTAACTCTTGTCTTCCAGACTACGGGTTTAATTCCGTAGTCTCTCCTCGTAGCTCATACCCCTCAGTTCGGGTACTAGTCTGGTGGCAAACCTTTGAACCTTTTCCAGTTTAGTCTTATATGTGACCAGATTATGGACTCCATGCTGGGGCCGCTGATGTTATCCTTTTGGTATGGGCTTCAGGGGACAGGTCTGGCGTGATATCAACCCTCAGGTCTTTCTCTCTCTGATTCTTGAAGGATTTCATCTCCCAAATGATACCTTGTATCTGGCCCCCTGTTCCCTACACCTATCTTCATTTCATTACAATTTCTTGGGATAAACTCTAATAACCATTTGTTGGACCATTCCTACAGTTTGTCCAGATCTTCTTGAAACCTAAAGCTGTCCTCTGTTTTAATCCTCAAAATTTTGGCATCGTCAGCAAACATTGAGAGGAATGAGTCTATACCCAGTGGGAGATCATTTACGTATATCGGAAACAGGATAGGTCCGAGTACAGAGCCCTGTGGGACTCCACTGGTGACTTCACGCCAATCTAAGGTCTCACCCCTCACTGTGACTCTCTGCTTCCTATTGCTTAGGTACTCCCTTATCCACTGGAGCACCTTACCAGCTACACCTGCCTGTCTCTCCAGCTTATGTACCAGCCTCTTTTGGGGTACTGTGTCAAAGGCTTTCCGACAGTCCAAGAAAATGCAGTCTGCCCATCCTTCTCTTTCTTGCTTAATCCTTGTAACCTGACCGTAGAATTCTATTAAGCCCGTGAGGCAAGATTTACCCTCCCTAAACCCATATTGGTGGTTGGGTAGGAGATTTTGCTAAAAAAACGGCAACAGTGCACATTTTGTACTATTAAAACTTCAAAGGTGAAACATCTAATTTACACAAAAACTATGGTAACAAC